TTCTCGCTAGCTTCGAGGCTAAAATTATTTTGCACGCCTCATTTATGGCAAAGACCTCTGCCTGAAAAACACTGGCCGAATTAGGTAAATCCCGCCCCTGCTCCACAATCCATTTTGGAACCGTCCGTAAAAATGGATACTTCGAAGCGTTCAGTAAAAATAGGATCCTTCCACTCCTTTCTTGATGGAAAAATCGTGCCGAAGTTTTTCTTGAAGAGAAGCGAAGGACAAATGTAGTCAGTTTTTTCGCGAATGCTTGGGTTGTTGAAAGAATACAGGATACGTCCATGCCCGTACGTACGTTCTTTCCACAATCCAAGTTCCCTCAACCTGAGCGCACTCTGTGAAGCACTTTCCTTGATAAAGAGATCAATCGGTGGCAGATGACAGATGACATTCAATGCTTCCGTTGGACATGACCTGATCGCCCCAGTACTCGCAATCCAGGCTGACCTTTGTACCCTGCCTAACATTGTGCGTATGTAGTTCATCTCTACGGCTTTCCACCAAACCAGCGAACCGNTCGCAATGCAGGCTGACCTTTGTACCCTGCCTAACATTGTGCGTATGTAGTTCATCTCTACGGCTTTCCACCAAACCAGCGAACCGTATGCAATAATTGGGCGAATCACCGCCTTGTACATCCATAGCATAAGATCAGGTCGTAGGCCCCACCTCTTACCCAGCATTTTCTTACAGGAATACAGAGCACCATAGGCCTTTTTTACTCGGTGCTCTGTATTCATTTTCCAGTTTAATTTCGGTGTGAGAATGACTCCCAAATACTTAGCGTAAGGGGAAAGAGAGAGAGTAAGCCCGTTCAAGGAAGGTAGGTTAAAATTAGGAATCTTTTTTCTTGTAGTGAATAATAGTAATTCGGTCTTCGAGGGACTAACGTTGAGCCCGCAGCCATTTTCCCAAGAACCCAATTCCCCCAGTGCTCTTCGAAGCATTTCGCTTATCACATTTATGCACAATCCGGATACCATAATCACTACATCGTCTGCATACGCAACAACTTTGACCCCTTCCCTATTGAGTCTTAGAAGAATGTTGTNTCTTCGAGGGATTAACGTTGAGCCCGCAGCCATTTGCCCAAGAACCCAATTCCCCCAGTGCTCTTTGAAGCATTTCGCTTATCACATTTATGCACAATCCGGATACCATAATCACTACATCGTCTGCATACGCAACAACTTTGACCCCTTCCCTATTGAGTCTTAGAAGAATGTTGTTTAGTACGCAAAGCCACATCAGCGGCGACAGTACCCCGCCTTGCGGAGTCCCCCGCTTTGGATGACTGATGACTACGCTGGTGCCTAGCTTTCGTTTACAATCCTTGTACGAAGAATGGTAGATATCCAGTTTACCAGGAAGTTCTCAATCCCCAGGTTTCTGAGTGATTGCTCTATCGCCTCCAGACTAACGTTGTTGAACGCCCCTTCTATGTCCAGGAAGGCCGCCAACGTATATTGTTTATTTTCCAGCGGTGATTCTACCTTGTGTATGACCTCATGGGGCGCAGATTGTGTGGAGCGCCCTTTTAGGTAAGCATGCTGTGCAGTAGACAATTCTCCATTGCCTAGTTTCGAACTGAGACCTGATTTAGGTCACAGCCTGGAAAATGGGTACGAAGAAGGAGTTCTAATGTCTCCTTAGAGCTATTGGTCCATCCTCCATCTTCCTTTTTTAGGAAGGAAGGATTGCTGTGTTCCTTGGATAGGATCCTCCCCATTCTGGCGGATTCTTTCGTTGATTCTATAGAAGAGCAGAAATCCCTCCAGGATTCCTGTTTTGCTTTGCGAATTGCCTTTTTGTAAATTCTCAAGCTATCTCTATAGGTCTGCCAGTTACCCGTGGAATAGCTTAAGTTGACGGTTTTGCGAGACTCTTTCCTAAGTTCCGAGATCTCCTCTCCCCACCATGGAGGATATTTGTTCCGCCCGAAGCTTACGGGACAGGAGACTTTAAAGGCCGATCCCATAGCCTTTACGAATTTGTTGCACTTGGTTTCTATATCCAAGGTCGTTAAATTGTTATTGTAATGTTTCCCAAGTTTGTTACTGACCACATTGGCGAACCGCCGCCAGTTTATTCTCTTTGGGTTACGAAAAGGAAGGGAAACATTCTGGCTAACCGATAAGTTAAACAGTATGTACCTATGATCAGAAAAAGATTTCCGATCAGATACCCTCCAGTTGTCTACTTTAATGCTACCTCTACTACTACAATCGTTAGTTAGTGTTATATCGAGCACTTCTTCCCATCCCCTAAAAGTATCAGTGCTAGGAAACGTGAACGTCGGAGTGCTACCACGATTACAAATTATTAGGTTAGTGCTAAGAATGTAATCGAAAAGAAACTCACCGCGAGTATTTATTTCCGAGCTGCCCCAGATCGAATGCATGGAGTTGCAATCGCATCCGATAAGTAGATTTTCCGACTGAAAGTTCTCCACTAGTCTACGAACCACATCCGGTGGTGTGTCCTCGTTGTGCGGCATGTAGCACGAGGCGATGACCATGCTGGTATCACCAGCCGCTTTGAACTTCGTGGCTGTTAGATCCGATGAGCTGTGGGAAGGGATGAGAAAAGTATGGTATTGAGATTTGACCACAACACAAGATCTAGGCTTACCGTCCGATTTCTTGTAAAATACCTCGTATCCATCCAGGTGCAGCCCCTTCATCTCGTTGTCCCATACCCAGGGCTCCTGAATGAGCGCGATGTCGACATCTTCCTCCACCAGGAAGACGGAAAGGTTGTCCGTGGCCAGCCTCGAGTGCTGGAGGTTAATCTGGACAACCTTTAGACCCATTATCAATTTGGGTCAGCAGTTGGGTCAGCGAGCAGCATGCCTTCCAGCAGCTTATTTGCGTCGTCGACCACGTCAGGCTCTTCTTCTTCAGCATTGTTCGCCCGGAAAATTTTTACTTTGGCTCGCCGGATACCAAAGCGAAGGAGACAGTCGGCATTTCCAAAGGCTCGATACTTTCCTCACCAATGAGGAGTAAGAAGGACAAGCTGGTTGTTTGTGACTCCTCAGCCTTGAGGATCACCCAGTCGTCCATCGGGATTTCACGGTTGTGTGTACGCAGATATTTTAGCAGCGCCGCGCTATCCATCTCTACACGTGGGAGCCAAATGCGAGCTCTCGGCCTCCTGGGGATTTCACTGGCAGGGATGAGCTTGAGCCTCAAACCCTCCCAAGCATCACTGATGTTCGCCAAGCTCTTCTCTAGGAAAACCTTTGAGAGTTGGTCCTCACATTTGACCACCCTGTAACCGCGCACTACCTCCGCAGAGTCGAAACTGGGGAGATGGCCATCCGGCTGTGCCATGACCTGGTCAATGACCATTTGACCAATCAATCTCCCCCCACTTGTCAAGCACCGGCTTCGCCTTGTTGGAAATCGCATCTACAAGTGCCACCTGCAGGCTATCTCTTACCACCTTGCTGAAGCCACGCCGTGGCCCTGCTGCAGCAGCCGCACTTGCCTGGTCAGCAGAAAACCTACCCTTTTTTGAGGCTATTTCATCTTGGGACCTATTCCGCTTTCCCGCATCCTTGTGTTCGGTGGCCTGGTACAGCCGGTACTCATCCACCACCGCCTGAAAACCGATTTTGTCTACGGCGTCCTTCGGGTGCACGATCCCTTTGGTCTCATTCCGCTCTATCCTACCGAGGATAGATAGAGCCCGCCGGTATCGCTTTTCCCGAATTGCCTTTGACGTCGAGGGTTTGATATTTGGCTGCCCCCTGGCAGGNTGTCTTCGGCGTCCTTCGGGTGCACGATCCCTTTGGTCTCATTCCGCTCTATCCTACCGAGGATAGATAGAGCCCGCCGGTATCGCTTTTCCCGAATTGCCTTTGACGTCGAGGGTTTGATATTTGGCTGCCCCTTGGCAGCCGTAGAAAGCTGTTGATTAGATGACGGAGTACTGTGGCCCACAGTACTTGCTCCACCACCTGGCGTCAAAGTCTCCTGACTGGATAGGAGGAGCTCCTCCTCCGTGGAGAGGCTCGGACTACTCAGTCGAGGTCTGTCCGTACAGTCTTTGTTGGTCGTGTCTAGGGTAAGTGAGTCCTGTATTTTGTTGTCCGAGGTACTGTCCGTGGAGTTCTTGTTAGTCGTGTCCTTTAGCTGTGGGTGTTTGTCAGATTTTTTATTGTCCGAGGCTGTTTTTTGGTTTTGCATATATTCTGGTTCTTACGGTCGCCCGCCCAGTCACTGTCCAAAAAGGAGACCCAAGAGGGACCCAAGAGAAACAGCGCCGCACAGTGGTTCGGATAGCAGATCTAGCTGGACGAAAGTCAACATTTTTTTGCTTTTAAAATACTTAATGGTACTTGGAATACATTCCTGACAATACATTCAAATAGAAATTGCAATTATTAAAGCATTAACATATGAAAACAAACAAAAAAGGTAAGTAAATGCCGCCTATTTGAGAACTCTATTTTAAAATCTGAAATTTAACTTAAAGGATTGCTAATTGCACTCACAGATATTGCATAATTGCAAATTGACTTCATAAACAAAAAATTACACTTATTCCGCTATAGATTCAGAGGTCATAACGCAATTTATGTCCACATTGGTTTAAGCAAATTTATGTGTTAAAACAGGAAAATACTTGGAGTTATAAAAACTTTGGTTATGTAAGAGTTAAAAAATAGTAACTCGCGAAATTTCTGCTTTCTGGAATTAAAAAATTATACAACAGGCATACAAATTTTTAAGCGCAGTTATAAAATTTTTTCTGAAATTTATTTGTGTTTCTTGCTGTGATCTTAAATTTTAGTCATGGTAAATAAAATCTTAAGAAGTGAGTTGTTTGACATTTGGAGAAGTGTTGCTGAAACTTCTAAAAGACAACAAGGTGTCCGTGATTATGTGATTAGTAAATTGAAAGAAATATCTGATGAAAATGCTCGTTCCGAAGTTAAAAAAGTAAATTAATTAAATGATTTTACCCAGTTTCATAGAAATCGACCTTTTTTTTATTTTCGTCCGCCATATTGGATCCGCCATTTTGAATTTTTGGTAAATGACTTTAGATATGTAATCAGCGACCCAGAAAACCCCTAGATACCCAGTTTCATAGAAATCTACCGATTTTTTTTTATTTTCGTCCGCCATATGGGATCCGCCATTTTGAGTTTTTGATAAGTGACTTCAGATTCGTAATCAGTGACCCAAAAATCCCCTAGGTAAGAAGTGGTGTAAAGATCCGTCAACGAGTATTTGTTTAAATAATTTCGTCCAGCTAGATTTGCGATCCGAACCACTGTGCGCCGGGCTGTACCGAAGGCGAGGTGGCCTGGCACAGCGACCTAGCGAGTGAAGAGGGGAAAAAGTCCGTCCGCCATGGTAGCGCCCCATGCCACGGTAAGGTCACCGTTACTCACTGAGGCGACCCGGCGTCAGTGAGGCACCGTAGAAATACAGTCCGTTACCCCCGACTGCAAACGTCGTCCAATAGGCACGGTCCACTTAACACCTTGGATTGTGGGAAACCTCCGTACCATGATCAAAGGGCATTGCGATGGGCTGTGCTATTGAAGAGCAGCGAACCTTCCCGCGATTCCCCCTGATCTTAGCTGGATACCGTTCTGACAACACACAGAACATATTGGAGTATCCATTTCCAGCCGGCACCATCGGGGAGGGTTCAGTGGAGGAACAATTTTTTCGCCAGCTAAGAGGTATATGGACGCTCACACACATCTGTCAAAACTTGCCGTTCACATGCGAGTGAGTGAGTGGCAGTTTTGAGGCGTTTGACGGCCTTTTAATTTAACGTGTAATATGTGTAAGCACCAATCTATTAATATCGTTGAATTATATTAATATCTATTGCAAAATTTTATACAGACAAGATTATAAAGAAGAAAATAAATAAATTAAAACAAACTTTTTGGTATACCACGCTTTTATAAGTGGACTAAAAAGTAGGAAATAATGTTTCCCAGTCCCATAGAATTTGTTTTGATAACTTTTGATTTTCAAATTTTAGCAAAAGTCATTAATAAAAATTTATAAGATTAAAAATTAAAAGCGTGGCGCACATGTAATAGACTTAAATTGATATGAAAAGTATTATATGTATGTATGTGGGTATATGAATAACGATCTCTTAAAATCGATCTCAAATTTGTTATTTCGCTGTAGATATTTTAGGTCTATGTTATGTAGTTTGACTATTGTCAATTATATCGAATGCTTTGTATAACATGCGCTCCACGTTTTTCTTTTTCAATCTCATAAATTGTTTATAATTACTTGCTAAAATTTCAAAATCATAAGTTATCAAAACAATTTCTGTGGGACTTAGAAATATTACTTTCTACTTTTTAGTCCATTTATAAAAGCGTGGTATATTAAAAAGTTTTTGTATGTTATTTATTGAATAGTTTGATAAAAAAATTTAGCAAAACGTAGAAAAATTTAACATTTTAACAGGCAGGAAAAAATTTATCAATTTTGAATAAATTTAAGGAAGACGTCAACTCTGTCTGTACCGTATTTTAAGGTGGAAAATTTGTTTCATTGTGTTCAAAGTACTGAACTTTTTAGCAACATCGAATAAAGTTAAAAACAAACTTTGGCAGCATTGTTAGTTATAGAGCATAGTTCCAAGTACCTTTTGGCGGTGCATCTCTAAATGGAAAACTTTGTAAAAATATAAATTCTTAACTTCATGTTATAATTTTATACGCTTGCTACTCAAAGAAAAACTTTTTGAATTCTTAGTATTTATAAGTAGTGTTGGGCAGTATCGATACCGAAAGTACTCAGAACTCGATTCTCAAAAGGATCGACAGTGCCCGATTTTTAAAAGTATCGATACTGGATATTCCAAAGTACTCAGTACTTACAAAAGAACTCGAAAGTACTCAGAACTTAAAAGAACTCAGTACTCACAAAAGAACTCGAAAGTACTCAGAACTTAAAAGAACTCAGTACTCACAAAAGAACTCGAAAGTACTCAGAACTTAAAAGAACTCAGTACTTACAAAAGAACTCGAAAGTACTCAGAACTTAAAAGAACTCAGTACTTACAAAAGAACTCGAAAGTACTCAGAACTTAAAAGAACTCAGTACTCACAAAAGAACTCGAAAGTACTCAGAACTTAAAAGAACTCAGTACTCACAAAAGAACTCGAAAGTACTCAGAACTTAAAAGAACTCAGTACTCACAAAAGAACTCGAAAGTACTCAGAACTTAAAAGAACTCAGTACTTACAAAAGAACTCGAAAGTACTCAGAACTTAAAAGAACTCAGTACTTACAAAAGAACTCGAAAGTACTCAGAACTTAAAAGAACTCAGTACTCACAAAAGAACTCGAAAGTACTCAGAACTTAAAAGAACTCAGTACTCACAAAAGAACTCGAAAGTACTCAGAACTTAAAAGAACTCAGTACTCACACCTTGGAGTACTCAGAACTTAAAAGAATTCGAAAGTACTAAGTACTCAAAAGAATTCGAAAGTATGTAAGAGTACTCAGAACTCAAATGGATTCGAAAGAACTAGGAAAGTACTCTGTACCAAGCATTATGACACATTTACTCAGGATCGAATCAAAGGACTTACTCAGTACTAAGTGTCGAATAGATATTATTTACTACTATTTACATTTACTGGTATTCAAGTTATTCTACATGTAAAGTAATGTAAACGGGGTAATTACACATACATACATATGTACTCTCAATAACAATAACTTTTAATCATTCATTTTATTTAATCAGTCATTACTTTATTCTATTTTTGATGAGTTTTACATTTACAACGTAACAGGAAACAGAAAAATATTTTTTATAGTTTTGAAATATGGATCTACATATATAGACACATATTCGTAAATTTTTATACATACATTTGTACATCTTTAGCTACACACTAGTTTTAAGAATTTTATGAGAACATTNCAATTATATTCAACAATTTTTAATGAGCTTGAGGCCGTTTTTTAATGAAAACATATTGTGGAAAAGCAACAATAATTTGAAAAAATGGTAGAAGTGTAGCTATTTCGGAAATCACCACACTTCCTCATCAGACTTAATTTCAGTAGGATTCGATTCGACGATCCCACTGACTCAGCCAGGTGCCTACGCACTGTGATAATAAGTCCGCCTTGTTAATTCTTGTTGCTTATTTCCACTATTTCACTTGTTAAGCCAACTGCAATCAAGCGCAGCTATTCCGCTGCAATTCACTTGATCATGTGGTTGTTGGTTTTGTTGGTTTTTGTTAATATTTCTATTATTAGAATGTTTAACTTTTAGGTGTGCTCGTCCTTAAGTTATTTGTTTTTGTTATTTTAAGACCTTATAACAATTATATTC